TCCAAAATCACACGGCGTTGACTTTAAGCAGAAGAACATGTCCTTAGAGGCACCTGAACAATGTGGACGGTAGCGCAGCTATAAGTATTCCTCCCAAGTTCGACAAATTTAGCGATAGATACTAAATAAATGCCTGGTTGGTAATCGAAACTGTCCTATGTCCTGTACCGTTCTTTCTGTGTTTTAGTCTGTCTAATTGCCTAGCACATTCTCTCTAGGTTCTCGCTAACTCAACAGTCGGTTTTTGACACCACTGTCGAAATCAACGCAACGCGGTCTGCTGCCAAATCGCCCTCGGCTGGGATAGAATCAGACACACCTAGAAATACAAAGTGCGTTGGCAACACCTCAGACACAGACGCCACCTAGCTTTCACTTGTCGTCTGCTGGCCGGTCGGCGTCACAAGTTTACCGGAGCATAGATGAATGATGCCTGTTTGGATGACATTCTTCGCTTTGTGGCAGGAGATAGATAATTAGAGGGACCATTTAAAATAACCCGACTGCAAATTTACTAGCGGGGTGGAGTGTTTGTTCCCTCAAAACTATTAGATGGGAGCGGGTTACGGTGGCTGAGCCTCTAGGTTCCGGCACCCCTTCCCACAACTCTCTGGCACCACCGTTTGAGAACCACTGGGGCAACCATGTCCCGCGTAAGGCCAGTGTTGAAATGTCGACAAAGCCGTGATGTTTGAGCTGTTAGTTTGTGAATGTCCAAACTTTGATTTGTTTGTTTGTGTTTGCAGGATTTCAACCTGACCACGCCGCAAACACCGACAGACAAACTGCCAATATAAGCACGTGACAGCTTTTAAAGGCCATTGTCTGAGAAATGGCAACAATTTCAGACATGTCCTGGCCGCTGACTGGGACGTGTGTTTTAATTTAGCTTATTTTTGTGCCGCGACCATTCAGCGTGTTTCATATCATGATATTTAAAAAACCAATTCTTCATTAGAGGCTAATAGAAAAACGAGATTCTTTTGGGGAACCGATACAAGTGGTATTTTAAACAGACAAGGAAAAGTCGAACTTGATTGATTGGGATTCTATTATGTAAAGATAGGTTTTCACTTACAAAATCAACAGCTTAAACTTAAAAGATCACAGCGTAAATTTCAAACACACGCATGGACATTTACTAAATTAGGCTTTAAACCTTAATTTGTGAAGTCACGTATGGAATTCTTCATATTACATGTTTAAAATTCCAGTAATGTGTTAAGGGTTCCAATTTCGTGCGCCGAATTCGAAAAGAAATCAACACGTGGAATATTTGTTAAAATGGGTCTCTCCTACAAGTCAGAAATTAGAACACGAAGTGGTACTGTTTCCCTACACAGCAAGTTGACATTATCAAGATGGCCGGTGACTGTGTTTTGTATGGTGGTTGTGTCTGTGATACAGAGGGCGTCAGCTGAAGATTCCTGTGGAGGCATCAGAAACAGATTTGTATGCGACAGGCTCAACCCAGCACTGTTCCACATCTGTCTCGGCAGCAGTAAGTACACAATGGTCTGTCCAGGATCCCTCCATTTCAACGTCAAGACCCAGAAATGCGATTGGCCTGGAACTGTCACATGTGTCCCGCCATCTTCTCTGCAATCTGCAAGCCCGTATGTTCCCCAGCTGTTCCAAGATAGGGAGCAGAACACTTCAACGTCTACAAAAACTGGATACACAAGTGCTGTAACTCGAAAGCTCGTTACTAATTACCGATCTGAATCAAAATCACGAAACTCACAAATAAAATCAAAATCGACTCCAGCTAGCAACAGTTTTGAACCATATATCGCGTCTTATCACAGGAAGTTGTCGAAGCCGGAAATTTCGGCATTGAAAAAGAAAGTTCCAGAACTACTCAATGATAAATATGGAAGTCTGCACGCTGGGAATGTTACCAGAAAAGTGTCGATAAAACCTGCAGCGAATACAAAGGTTAAAGATCCTCATTTCGGGTCAACCACTATAGCGCACAATGCGCAAAATCATCGGCGATCAAATACAATTTCGAAAACAAACACTGCACACCGAAATGAAAAGCTAAACTTCGAAGGCAACTCAGTAATATCTCACCCAACGGCTGACCGACATATACCCCATACAAGTCAAAATAAAAAAAGGCAGCTTTCCACAACATACTTACACAGATCAACACATCCTCCAAACAGAAGATTCAGACCGCGCGTTTCTCCACATAACCAAATGCCCCAAAAGTATTCAGCCCGTCTGAGTCCATTTCGCAAGACTCCTTGGAATAGTCTATCACGTAGTTCCCAACATTATGACAATAAGAAAGACACAAGCTTTCAAAGCACGAACAACAATGGAAATTCTAGAATTATCAACAGCAACACAGCCGCCCAAATGATCACAACAAAACAACCTTTACAGCCAACACAGAGGCCAGACACAACAAAAAGAAGCAAAGGCATTTCACTAGCCAAGACTCCGTGGTGGAATACTCCAAGATCCGATGCAAGATCTGCAAATTCTCACAAGTCCAAACAGTCGTCAATATCGTATTTTCATAAATGGCATAAGACAGTTGACCGGGAAGACATAAAAGACTCACCAGCCATGTCGAATCTTCACAAAAAATTAGAATCAAAACTGGCTAAACGTCAGCAAAAGAGGAAGTACAAACCCCGAAATCATGTTCCCAAACCCAGCTACAATACCAGGACACCAGTAGGGAATGGCGAAAACCCGCCAGATGGCAAAGCATCATCTATGGGAAACTCAGCTTCCCAGAATGTTCATAAATCGGCACGACTGGCATCGTCGGCGGACAACAAACCCCCATGGAATACAATCAATGCAGCAGCGGCCTCGTCTGACATTAAGGCGGCTGTGTATCAGTCGAATGATTTGATCGAAGCCAGTAAATCTGAATCATCTCCAGACATCGGAATCGTCTCAATAGTTACAGAAGAAGCTCCTAAGACAAAAGAGGTATCTGAGCAAGAGTCACCAATGGAGAAGTACAGTGTCAAACGAGGTATGAGAAACTATATTCATTGGTAGTCCTTCATCATCATCAATTCTCTTTATGCCTAGTGGCATAAGAGGCTTCAGAGAGGACTTTCTATGCTCTCCTGTCATGTGCAATCTTCAATGCAGTTTTCCATGTCAGATATGCCACATTCAGGTCACTCTCCATCGTTTGTCTCCATTTTGTTTTTGGGCGCCCCCTTTATTTTCTTCAGTTCTGCATTTCTTTAATTACTTGGGCGGTTTCAGCCGTTTTAAACATGGTTCTTATATTCCAGAAGCCAATTCCTGATTTGGTTTTAACGTCCAGTAGACTTGTTTTCCCACCATGGGCTTCCTTTCGGCTTTCACCCATGTTGTTTATGCTCACAGAGGGACTTTGTCCCAAGACAGTCAATCCTTTATAGGTAATAAATTTAGTGAACTCACTCTGATGTGTCTTCTCAAAATGGTAGAGAGGCTTGTGTGTTCCAATGATCGTAAGAGGGGTCTCTGTGCCGAAATGGTCAAACCTTGTGCCTCGTGCTCTGAAGGTCGTTGGTTCGTTTCACGGCTGCGCCCTTCAGTTCACGAGTGTGAATTTTACGGAGTTCCCTGGGGATTGTCGCAGGAGCTACGGATTTCGTGATCTGCGCGGCGCACTTTGTAGGCGGCTAGCCGTTCTGCAGAAAGACAGAGCCATATGGAATAAAACCCGGTGCAATTAAGTCAATCCTCTCGACTATAAATAACTTTAACTTACCCTAAGAGCTACGGTTACGTAAGCTTGCCTTATCATAGGATCAGGGACAAATAGGAAACACATATCAGCTATCGCGTTGGTAGATTGTGTGTAAACACTGGCTAGAGAAAGCGAACAGGAAAATACGTTTTTCTTTCAAATCTAATGTACTGAGACTTGGCAAAATCTGAAGTACTAAGCAAGAGACGTGACGAAATCTGAAGTACTAAGCAAGATACGTGAGGAAATCTGAAATATTAAGCAAGAAACGTGACGAAATCTAAAGCACTAAGTAACAGACGTGGCAAAACCTGAAGCATTAAGCAAGAGACGGGACGAAATCTGAAGTAATAAGCAACAGACATGACGAAATCTAAAGTACTGAGCAAGAGACGTGACGAAACCTGAAGTAATAAGCAATAGACGTAACGAAATCTGAAGTAGTAAGCAAGAAAATTGACGAAATCTGAAGTCCTAAAAAAATTTTAAAACGTGACGAGATCTGAAGTACTAAAAAACGATGTGACGAAATCTGAAGTACTTAGCAAGAGACGTGACAAAATCTTAAGTACTAAGTAAGAACAAGTTTCTAGGATAGCTGCAAAGAGGTGTGAGAGCCGCCGCTGTGTTCAGGTCCAGACGGAGCCTGATTGTTTATTGTTTTGTTTTGATTTTTGGCTCTCATGTCAACTCAAGTCTTAGATGGATACCAGGTAAAGTCTTGGGAAGTAAAGGTGTCCGGCCTGATATTACATCACTCACCGATTGGTCTATAAAATAAATGTCTAGCCCTATAGGTCCAATACGACTCGAGGCGTAGAAAAGGGCCCTTTGCAAAGAGATGTTTATAGGTCTTGACAAGTACGAGCCCTGGCGGCTTTTCTCTGCCGTCTCCTCTCACAACCGTTGATTTTGCATATATGGGCTTTATATAATGTCCATGTTTGGCACCGGTAGCTCAATACTGGTATGAATATACTGTTTATAATCTTTTTTTTTTTAATTCATTTAATTATATGTTTTATAAGCCAATTTTCTTCGGTGTTTCCACCTTAAAATGCCCCCCCCCCCAAAAAAAAGAAATTATTTATTATTTCTTTGTAAGTTTACGGTTTAATGATAAGAGATAACCCCCCCCCCCCCCTTTTTCCCACCCCATCCCCACCTCCTTTTCCCGTTTTGCGTATTTATAGGCAAATGCAGCAGTACCTGGTGCAAACTGCCAGCCTGCAGGTGCGTGGGTTCAGACATCCCTGGTGGGCTGGAAGTGAAGGAGATTCCTCAGATGGTTATGCTGACTTTCGACGACAGCATTAACATCCAGAACATCAACTTCTACAAGGAACTCTTCAACGGGTCGCTGAAAAATCCCAACGGCTGCCCGATCAAATGTAAGTAAGTCTGTCTCTTAACTAATTCGTCAAAAGTGAACAAAGGGACTTTGAGTTGTTTAGTGTTGGACCTTTACATATTCTAGGTCTTGACCAACGAAAGGGTGTGGTCAGATACATTACTCATGGCTTTTCTTTGACGTAGTTTCCAAATATCTATGTGCATTTTCAGATCTTCATTTCCGTTAGATCATGTTTTCCCTACAACCATCCTAGTTGGTAAAAATAATTGGATTATTCCCAGACACTTGTCGAGACAAGTCAGGATCAGACTTAAGCTTGATGAGACCACAGGCTATATAAATAAATCCCTGCTGTCTTAAATTACACTAGGAAAGTAAAATCACAGAAATGAGATTACAGTCCTCTAAAAGGCTCTCAGCTACAATTGCGTAATTTCATTTCCCAAATGCAGAATTGTTGATTATGTTATCACAAGATTTGCTGCGCGATAAAAATCGTGTTCGAGAGCTGAGCGACGATAACAACCCATAAGTCTATAAAATAGGTCAGGGGGAGGGGGGTGGCAGAAAATGGGAAGCACGTTGTACCCCTAACAAAGATATCCCCCATTATGCTCAAATTGACACACCCGGGATATCAAGGAAGAGATATACCATCTACATTTAGATCCCAAATAGGAGAACGGCTAACTAGAACTGCGGGGACACTGTACACTGGAGCAATGAATGCCCCAAGAAACAAGACGACCCAGTAACAGGCCAGCTGATTAACTGGTAGTCTGGTGGTCTAGTAGTCTTAGTTTCAGCTTCATAGCAAAGGGTCACCCCACAGTTGCTATGCTCCTGTGCCAACGAACAACACACAGAATGTTTATCACAGTCCCGTGTGGAAAGATTGACAGACTGCTGTCTCAGCATATACACTAGCATACATACTCATTAATAGCATACGGTAGCTATCCGAAGTGCTAACACAAATAGTCCGACATTAGAAACGCAGTTCATCATGCATGGTAGCAGAAGTCACCAACAGATCAGCTATTGCACTCACAATCAATTTTAATCACATAATTGCACCACCAATATTGTGACAACAGGCATCGCGCCATTTTATGAACCTACAATGCACACCACCACGTTGGTCACAGCAGAAAAACATTCTAAATGAAATCAGCAGCCCACAGTGTCATGCCATGCACTCAACTAAGAAGCTGGGCGACGAAACTATCCTTTCAGTCTTCAAATGGAGCAAAAATGCACCAGTCACCGTCTAGCAGAAGAAAAAAAAAATTGCTACGGCTAACAACAGTGACCGTGCCTAGCGTCCATTTTGACCAGAATTACTAAATCAATGTGGGCCATTCTTTCAGAACTCCCTCTGTCATACGGTAACGGTATACGGTAGCGGTGGAGACCAAGATAAGAATAAAGCTTGTTTCACTATCCCTGACGAGCCGAGCAATTGTGTGTAGTATATCTATAAAACCACATCTCCGCCGCTAATGCCAACAGAGAAAAGGTATTCTATAACAGTTTTGGTCCAATTCCTAGATCATAATCATAACTCTTGCATGGATTTATGATTCCAGCCACGTATTTTGTTTCTGGGGACAACAGCGACTACCAGATGGTCAAGAAACTGTCCAAACAGGGCCACGAGATAGCTTCTCACACGCTTAGCCATCGGAGTCCCACCACCTGGTGGGCAGATGCTGGGTCTGAGAACTGGGAACACGAGATTGTAGGTATGAAGAACCAGCTCCACGAGAAGGCTGGAGTGCCCCTAAAAGATGTTGTTGGCATGAGGGCTCCATTCTTGCAGGTGAGGTGCCTAATTCATTAGGCTTTTTATCTAGTCTGTCAGTGATTAGATTTTCAGAAGAAAAAAAAAGATGAATGCTTAAAAGAACGGTTCGCACATTGTTTTGTGATTTACAGCTAGGCTGTGATATCTACGCCTTGATATTAGCACACCCGATTTCAAAAAAAAATTGTAATTAGTAAGCTTTTATGACACGTTTGTTAAGGAGCAGTGAACTACAACCCCCCCCCCCCCCCCCCACCCCCATCCTCTCCCCAAGGGGTCACGAAACACACACGATATAGCTGCTACAATGGATGACAACGTACAAAGGAAACTACGAAGTTCGACAAAGATAACATGACCGAAATACCTCTGCTTTCAGGACAGGATGCTATTTATGAGCCAATTCTCCTGAATGTTCAGACCAAAGAGGATGCTGGCGTTTTTCTTCTTCTTGTTCCAAGTATTCTAAGAATTTTAATGAGCATTCAGTTCACATACTCCGATTTGTTGTCTTCAAAGATGAAGATCATCATTATGTTGCGGATCCTTTGCAGAACTTCGCCTCCGTCACAGCCTAGGAAAGGAATCAGCTGCCTGTTCTCCAGCCTCATTGGTTTCACACTCAGCGAGTCTCGAATACTCGATGTTTACCTGCGACTTGGCTACCCACTAGCTGTTCTGGCAGAAACCATGCACTCCATTATTGTTATATCGATTTCTTGTGTTCCATCCTCCTAGAACTTCTACTGTCTGTTTATGTCGTTCGTATTTGTGATGTTATATATTTAAGTACTGTGCCGATGAATGCTTCTTGCCGCAACGTTCACTTGTCGTTTGTGATATTGTAAAGCTGACTGGTTCTACTTTTTGTTGGTTTGATATCTTTTCATGGCAACTGTAAATGACCTATCTATCCTTGTTTACCCCAGCAGGACATCACACAAGCGATAAACACCCGATGACACAAAGTGCCACCATGCGGATGAGGATCACCCGTGGAGAGGTCCCAGAAACCGCGTTCAGCCATTAGACCATATTTATGACCGGGCTATATTGCGTCCCCTGACAAGAGCCAGAGTAGGGCTTCAAATAACGAAAGATTGCAGCTCACAAGGACAAGATTGGCATTATATAAGGGATTTAAACGACTACAATATAGGCTGGATGTATGTTACAAACTTAGTCCAGATGCTGTTTTATGAGCCAGTTTTCTTCAGCGCTTAAATCAAAGGTCTCCGACCTGAGGGTGCGCCCCCCCCCCCCCCCGGGTTGGGGGGGGGGGGGGCGGGACGTGAAGAAGTATCAGGAGATTTCAAACAATTTTAAAACTGATTTCATTCATACCTGTCATAATCCGGATTTTGAGCTTGAACAGTCATTGAAACAAAACAGCGCTACCAGCTTGGTGTGGAGAATGATCTCCCTTGGGCCATCTCCAACGTCAGACCAAAAATCGCAGATATCATCAAGACAAAACAGTGTCACCCATCACATTGATATTTTGACACTAAATGACCACCCACTGGTGATCGTTTCGCTTGGTTATTTTTACACTTTAAATTGTGTTCGGTTCTTTCCTTTCAAGTTTTGGTTACCAGGATTTGGAACATTTATTTTTGTCTTCCTTCTTTTATATCACATTTTGGGTTAGTTCGTTGTAAGTCTTCCCAGAACCCGCCCATATACACAATAGCTCACATCTGATTGGTAGTTCATGAACCTGTCACTTTGGCACAAGGTTTTGGTGCTGTTCCGCCATGCCGTTGATATTGCGGGTTTGATATTTCAACAATCCCCCGCTTTTAATACTCCAAAAACATGGAGAAACTGAGTCTATCACCCCCTTCCCCCTTCTCCCATAGAGTGCTGCAACCTATGTCACAGGCATTCTCTTTCTCGGAACAAAAACGTAAATGCAAGACATCGCAGAAACCGAACAACAGAGCAGGACACACCTGTAACCTTCAGGAAAGTCTACCAGCCAACAAACTTGTGAATAAAGAGTGACCTACTCTATTTGGGGAGACTAACGTGAGCCTAACCCACACTTTGTTAAGTTGGGGGATTAGGGAGTGAGTTGAGGGGGGGGGGGGGACGATAGGGATCTTGCTGTCTACTGAAAATGGAGGGGGGCGGCGTAAAGGGTCTCACTATATTTTCAAGGGTAGGGGGGTGCGAAAAATGTTTAAGGCCACTGGTTTAGATCCTAACAATCAACGATAGTTCATTGACAATTACTGATCATTTCTTGCAGGTGGGCGGAGACGGACAATACACAATGCTTAAAGAAAACAAATTTCGCTACGACTCCTCAATGGTGACTGGTTATCTCTATAGCAACAACCAACCACCGGTTTGGCCATTCACTCTGGACACGCCTCCAGATGGCACCACGTGCAACATATCGCCTTGTCCCACCCGCTCCTATCCTGGACTTTGGGAGGTACCACTGGTTCGATGGTACGGCTCCAATCACATTGCATGTGCTATGCCAGATGCTTGCACAGTTGGTGAGTAGAAACAAAACACTTTTGTTTCTTTACTTTTTAAAAGATTAGAGGCGATTATATCTTTAGTAAGCCTTCGGTGAACGTTAATGAAAGAGTATAGCGGTGTCATTTTTCTATACAGCATATTTAAAAAAAAAAATGCACAGAAAGAACGTTAGTATTACAGATAATTAAGCACCAACAAGAAAATTAATGCCAAAATTTTGAGAGCATGTAATTTTATTGTAGAGCCAGTGAGAGCGAGTTTCTTTCAGGCAGACAGAGATTAGAGCTATGTTCTGCAAAGGACTTGCTAATTGATGATGCACACAACGGAATGGGGTAATCGACAGCGAGTCCTTTATAGCATGTAAACATTACATCATGGAGCTATTTCGTTTGAAATAATTGATTTCTTTCGTTGCACATGAATATATCAGTAAGTGGTTCATCGTCCTGATATTTATCAAAGATAATTTTGGCTCAGTGCACGCAATAAGTGGCACAAACGATGTCAAATTACTCTTTTTTTTTTTTTTTTTAGTGTGGGGACATTCCGTATATTTTAATAACATACCGCAGCTGATAACTTTGGCATTCACACCAGCCTTGAGCTATCAGTGCCAAAAAACGTAAATGTAAAATTACAACATGTGGGATTAGATCAAATGAGATGCGATGAGATAAGAGATGGACGGAGCTGATCAGTCAACAGTAACTGGTGAACCTGAATCCCTCAAATGAGAGCCCTGTGTTCTTAACCGTTCAGCCACAAGCTTCTACTGTGGGGAAATTAGCTAGTCACTGTAAATCACAATGTTGTGACCTTGCATATTTGATCATGTAACACTGTGGTTAGCTCGCCAGACCCCACCCATATACACACTAACTCATTTCTGATTGGTAGGTCCTCAGCCTTGTAAACTTCACACACGGTTACGGGGGTGTTCCGCAATGCCGTTGATATCGCGTGTTGTATATTACAGCATGCCAGCGCTTTTAATACTCCAAAAACATGGAGCTACTGGGTCTAATACAACTCCCCTAGAGTATGCTGCAACCTATGTCACAGGCTTTCTCTTTGTCGGAATGAAAACGTAAATGCAAGACATCGCAGAAACGAAACAACGGAAGGGGGGGGGGGGAACATCCGTAACCTTCAGGAAAGTCGACCAGCCCAACAAACTTGTGAATGAAAAGTTACCTACTCTATTTAGGGAGATTAATTTCGAACTAACCAACACTGCGTATACCTATTTAACAATTTATGTTTAATTTTTTTTTCGGTACGTTAATCTCGTTGATTTGTTCTCTTATGCTTTCTGACACTCCAGATTCAGGACACAAGAATGTCCGTAAATTCATTGACCAGAACTTCGACCGACACTATAAAACAAACCGAGCTCCATTCGGCATCTTCATCCACGCCGCCTGGTTCAGCAGGACCGAGGGAGTGTTTGAAGCACTGAAGGGCTTTCTGACATCTTTAACTAACAAGGAAGACGTTTGGATCGTCACCGTCAGCCAGGCATTGGACTGGATCCAGCACCCAGTTAGACTGCCTGCTCTTAACGCTATCGACAGCTGGGCATGCTGAGTCTTCTCGTGAATTTTCCTGAAGAGGACCTCTGTTGAATCTTTTAACTCTTTCAGTCCCAAGAACGCACTATACGTTAATAGGTTCCTACCCAGAAAATCAAGGAACGCGTCATACAGCGATTACACATTTCCCATTATTTGTTGTAGCAGTATTCTAATATTACAGTATTTCTTAACATTTCATTCCAATGTATATATAAGGTGTATTTTTAATGGCAATTATTTTTTCTTTAAAATGTTAGCGTTCCTATTTTTGCTATCACAGTCTGTATAGTCATTGCAACATGTGCTGCTATAGTGTGTCTTATCTTTTGGTACTGTTTTCCACATTACAGCTCTATCCACAATCGATTTTACTGGTTAAACTGCTAACAGTATTAGGACAAAGCACTTGAGTATCAGGAAATTACATCATAAATTGTTGAACAACCACATTCGAATACCTGCCACCGTTAAGAAAGACATCTTCAACCAAAAACACTCTTTAATCAATAGTTAACACCGTTACAGCTGACATCAATTACTAAAACACCGGTTATATAGTTTTAAAAATGACCCTTTTCCACGCCTTTAGGCGTGATTGGTATATATGGCTAGACCTTTATTTTACAGACCAAACGGCACTTGTGGGTGATGTGGTCAGCATCAAGCCGGTCGCCTTAGCTTCCCAGGACTGCACCAGGTATCCACTCAAGGCTGGGTCCACCTGGGAGACAAGATCATTTTTTTTTTAATCCGACTCCATCAGGACCCTATCCCACGAGCTCCCTATTCACCGGCGAGCGTCTAGCAGTAGAAGTAGTTGTACTTGCACCCCACCAGGACATCACACAAGCGATAAATACCCGATGACACAAAATGCCACCATGTGGGTGAGGATCACCTGTGGCGAGGTCCCAGAAACATCAGTAGAACCATTATGCCATATTAAAAGCCGGGCTATATTGCGGCCCCTGACAAGAGTCAGGGTAGAGCTTCACAATAACAAAAAATTGCATCCCACAAGGGGATGACTAAAGTATCAGCCAGAGCGTATAGCCGCTACACCACGGCGACTCCAAAAACACCGGCATGTAGCAGTGATATTCCAAACTAACGGTTACGTGGAGCTTGAAACATGACGTAGTAGATAAATTTAATGGCTGTGCGCAAATGATTGATTTAAAAAAGTCTACAGCCATTAAACAAGCCCCTATACTATGTGTATGTTGTACAGCAACTATACAAGTCTGGTCTTTTATAATGTGTTACAGTCCCAAAAATTTTAGAATCGCATTACCGCACCTAATTTCTCTGATGTTAAACCACCAACTACTGAAAGAGTTAATTGAAAGAAAGTACCTCTCTTTGTAAATAATACAGTTTTTACTTCACTTTGTGTTTGTTATTTGTTATCACGACTGGCAAGAGAAATAAACTGGTAGGTACTGATCGACACTTATGGTATCAGACTGGTAATGGTAGGAGACACTGAGATGTGAGGCTGAAAATACAGACGGGACAGATTCAGAAGCAGAGGCATTAAGGCATGGAAATAGGTTAGGGCACATAGGGCAGCCTAATTTAACCCCCTCCCCCCAACCCAACCGTCCAAGACCAAAATAAAATTAAAGTCTGAATACCAGGAATCAGATATAAGAAAGTCTGTACTGTTGAATATTTCCACTTTCTTTGTATTTGAAAAGGACATTTTTTTTTTTTTTTTACTTTTACTATCAACTTCTCGTTCAGTTACAGTGTCATTGGTCAGTTCTTCAGAAACTTCTCGTTTAGTTACAGTGTCAATGATCAGTTCTTCAGAAACTTCTCGTTCAGACACAGTGTCATTGATCTGTTCTTCAGAAACTTCTCGTTTAGTTACAGTGTCACTGATCAGTTCTTCAGAAACTTCTCGTTCAGTTACAGTGTCATTGATCAGTTCTTTAGAAACTTCTCGTTTAGTTATAGTGTCATTAATTAGTTCTTCAGAAACTTCTCGTTCGGTTACAATATCACTGATCGGTTCTTCAGAAACTTCTCGTTCGGTTACAGTGTCACTGATCAGTTCTTCGGAAACTTTTCGTTCAGTTACAGTGTCATTGATCAGTTCTTTAGAAACTTCTCGTTCAGTTACAGTGTCATTGATCAGTTCTTTAGAAACTTCTCGTTCAGTTACAGTGTCATTGATCTGCAACCATGAACAAATTGCAAGACGAGCGAGTTAAAAGAGGTGGTGCCAGACAAGAGCAGCGAGTTAAAACGTGTGATACCAGACAAGAGCAGCAATTTAAAACGTGTGATACCAGACAAGAGCAACCTGCAGGAAACGAAAGAATTATTTTAAAAAACCAACAAAACTGGTGTCGCAAGGGTCCTTTCTCGCAAAAACAATTAGGGGGGGGGGGGGAATAGGCTAATAATTGTGTAATATTTATTAGGCATTCAATATATTCTTGTTACGGATTGCGTGCTGACTGGCAAAAAAATATAATAATTCTCATGAATTAATATGAAATGAATTAACAAATAATGTCCATGCATGGTGAAAGAGGTCTCGTTGACCATTTACAAAAATATGGGTGGGTAGGTGGGTGGGGTGGGTCAGTCCACTCTCCCTAATAATATGAGTGGCTGGGGGAGGGGGTCTTAAATAGGCCTGAGTTCCCAGGTTTCAGCACTTTGGATCACATTACCCACTCAATGCGAATTGGTCAATAGAAACTTGGCGCTCTCACTTAATCGTTCACAAAAAAAACGCTTTCAACTGTTGCATTGTAACCTTTCATGCATGCCGTAAGGGGTGTCTAAAAAAAAAGCAATGAGACTAACTGATCTTATCCTGAAATAAACAAGCTACAAGACTAAAAAATAAAATTATAAACACAATAATAATATTATCAGTAATCATCATCAACAATATAAAACAATAATTGTGTTTTGAATGTCCAATGATTATAATAATATACCTGAAATAATATTAAATGTATGAACAAATACTTTAAAAGAGCATTTTTCTACGTGGTTAAAGGGCTTCTTATCCCACTTCTAAACTTATGACACTCAGCAATGTTTCTTTTCTGGCAGTTACACTCAAAAACACGAGGTACCCCTCTTCCCCTCCCAACCCAATTGACTTAAGGCTCAATCCCACCCCTTAACCAGTGGTTACTTCTCGACGGTGCACCAGCGACACGGCACGTGCTGATAACGAAAACGGTAAATTTTCCACTGGTCTCCCCATTTGCACACCGCTACACACCAGCTCGCTTCTGATTAGACGACCTACTGACCACCTCACCTCTGATAGGTCGGCCTCAAGCGTTCCGACTTTCACACAAGGTCACGGGGATATTCCGCACTCGCATTGATACCGCGTGTTGTATATTTCACTATGCCAGAGCTTTTAACACTTCTAAAACATTTAGATACTGGGTCTAACACACAACTCCCCGAGAGAGTGACAAAATCTATGCCACAGGCCGTCTCTTTCTCGGAAATAAAAACGTAAACGCCATACAACAACTGAAGTCCGAAGAAGCTCACCACAGTGTACATACTATAGCACCAGCGAGGATCCCGTAAGGCTAATTTTTTTTCTATTTCCAACTGCCAATGGATTTTTTACTTGCTCAACAATGCACACCGGCGTCCGATCTCACTACCCAGAGACCAGGAGGAATTACTAGAAGTCCAAGTTTAACTGAAAAAATCCCGGCCCTTACCGGGGATTGAGCCCAGAACCTCCAGCACCCGATGCAGACACCATGCTTTGAGACCACGCAGCTCCCAACATAAACAGTGTGGAGGCACAAATAGATCAATACAATAGAGGGGAATAGCGCTGCGAGGAGTCACCAAGGGGATCTGGCCAACCCTCAACACTTAAGGGAAAGGCGAGACGAATGTACAGTCAGACAATCACTTTGAACTCTTCGTCTGCTGCTGAAGATGGTGACGAAGCGCTTATGGGAGTGTCCCGAGGGCTGTAATGATTCCGATTCCTAAATGAAATATTCAACATAAACATTAACGTTCCGCGACCAATAATGCAAGTTCTGTGCTGGTTGACAAGACTGCACATACGTCTGGTGTGTCCCTCCTGTCTGACTGTGATAAACATTCTGTGTGTTTTTCGTTGGCACAGGAGCTAAGCAAAGATAGGGTGACCCGTTTGCTATGAAGCTGAAACTAAGACTGCCAGACTACCTCCTGCCTGACTGTGCTGATCTTTACCCTAGTTGACTTCATTATCTCCCCCCTTCCCCTCCTCTCTCTAAGGATGTTAACAATGACTACGGGCTACACACGCCGATCATCTGCAACTATGGCAGATCAAGCCAATCCTTCTGCTCTTTTATTGCTAAAAACACATGCATAGCTGTGACAAATGCGAAGGTCTTTCGACGATGTTTAAAGCGTCAACCTTCAGTGAGAGAGGCTAACTGCTTGGCGTAAAATTGACTAGTTCTGGCAGACTAACGTAGGAACAAATGATTGAAGAAGGATGTGTTGGCCGAATGGCGCAAAAATCGCAGCCATGCTGTAAACTAGAGCAGAGCAATTACGTCCACGGATAAATGCAATAGAACGAAAAGAAGACGAAGAAGAAGAAGAAGAAGAAGAAGAAGAAGAAGAAGAAGAAGAAGAAGAAGAAGAAGAAGAAGAAGAAGAAGAAAAAGAAGAAGAAGAAGAAGAAGAAGAAGAAGCTGCCTAGTAGAATCACAAACAGCCCAGCTGTGTGGGGCTGGTTTACGTCGGGCATTTGTTCCGGTGGTTTGCAATATCGGCACATATCTTTTAGAAACCATTTTGTTTCAGCACTATTAATAGACACTTTGTGGTGAATACCGACACTTTTTTTTCCTGGTGAGTATCGAGACTTTCTGCTTAAAAGAAAAACCTGGGTTTGTGGTCAGCCTTCAGTAATGGATGGGTTATATAAGAAGTTTTTCTTTATTCGCATAGGAAAATATCAAACAATGCGAATACGAGAAAACACAACTTGGGGAAAGCATTATTTGGAAACTTTATAATCTTGTAAATGGGCAATTTTGAAAGTAAGAATTAATTGCCTCGAAAAAAATGTTATTTACTGTAATAAAATTATGACAATTTCAAAATTGTGATTATATTTTACGGCTTTGAACAGAATTAGGCATACTTACTTTTGCGTAAAAGAAGGATCCCCATTGTTTAGGAAAGAAATGGCGCCTATACGGCTTCTAATCTTTGGTAAATTTCTTCTGGACATCGATTTTAAATATTCATGAACAATGTTAATAAAATAGACATAATGTAACCAGATGTCGATAAAAAGGAGGGCTTTAATAAGCTACTTTTTGCCGACGATCAGTGCATAGTCAACAGTGAAAGTAAACAGCTGCAGGACCACATAAACCAACTATACAAAAGTTACTTTTAATATTAAATCACATGAAGAATAAGATCAATACTGAAAAAATAGAAGTCATGAGAATAAGTAGAGAGCAAAAAACTATCGACATAAAGATCAGAGTATGAAACAAGTGCAAGAATTTAAATACTTGGAAAGCATCTTTACATGCAATGGTAAAATAGACAGAGATAGAAACGCGAATCAACAAGACAACAATATCATATAAACCAACTTGCTCCAATTTTAACACACCCTGCTATCCCAATAGAGGCAAGAAGACAAATTATAAATAACAATAGATCAACTTTAGGTTTCACAAAAACTGTTGAAACAAAACACGCGAGGTCAAATTTATTCAGAAACAAAGAATTCAATGGTTTGGCCATCAAATGAGAATGAAACCAATGATATCAGCAGCAAGAACCTGAAAATCAAAACACCAAGAAGCAGATAAAGTGATAAAGACATAGAAGAAGATGGATTAAAGAAGTCATTGACACCTTGAAACTGCATAACATCGCAGCATATCAAGCGACTGAGTGCGCCCTAGCTTGGATGCCAATTGTCTGATGAACTGCAACACTAGTGACATAAGCAGATATTGACAAAAGAAATAAACTTAGAATTAGAATAATAATACTTTTAACTTGTTTAAATAATAATTTCCTTATCAGCACTGTGCTGAATCTGCTGACAAGGCAGTACTTGCCTAAAACCTCAAAGGAGGTCCGACCTAGTCTCAGCCAGTCACATAATTTTTTGCAAAATCATAAAATGGTTATATCCTAATATTTTTATTTGAATCTTAATTAAGTAAAAATCATTTTTTTTTTTAAAAAATAATCATACATATCATATGCCTTCCTTCAGAGATGCAGTTCCAGCTTCCTGCACTGTAGGTAATAAACTTACTAGCATTACACAACAACAATTAGTGAATTAAATGTTGAAATCACTAGTTGTAACATATTAATAAATAACTGATTGAAGCCGGATAAAGAACTTATTATAAAATGTAAACATGAAAAGTGGAAGAACCTTATTAAGACAGTGTGAATAGTTAGTTCAGTTAGAATTATTTATTTGATCTGTTAGAGGAGACTGGAGCATTTTAGGACATGCTTGTGTATGAAAAAAGGATCTTTGATCAGAAACAAAACCAAAAATTCTCAGATTTGTAACAACAATTATGATAAAATCACACTGAATAAAAGCTAACAAAATACAATTTACTACTAGTTTTTCATTATTTTTTTTGTCTTCAGCATTCCAAGCACTGAAGGTTGACTGCTGCAGATATCAATTGCCCCTATGTGTCTCTCTGACTGGTCTTCTCCTTCTACTTGGTGATTGACTAGTATTTGTAGGTCTGTCTGTAAAGTATTCCAGGGCTGTTATCGATTTAAATGCATCCAATTTCAAAGCTTAAAAATCTGTTTTGTGAAGAATGATGTTTACCAAAGTGGGGCTGTTAACTCCGTGCTTCAACCTCCAACCTAGAAGACCAGGACTCTCTCTTTTTTTACAGTTCTTTGACGACCTGGCCATCTTGGTTAGGCCCTGTTGGTGCTAGGATACTAACTGCATAGCTTGTATGATCATTGATAAGTACCGCTGGCCACCATGAAAACAAAGAAATTAAATTTGTGAAATGTTTGGGTGTTAAACACTAACAAATCATACATTAAAAGTTGAAAAATAATAATAAAACTTGACCTCTTTTATCAGATTTTACAGCCAGTGAGCAAGAAGTAGAAGAAGAAGATTAATGATACATTTTATGTACTCAGTAATATTTACGGTTTCTTATTACCTTCACTCACAAGGTGCTGTCTGAAAGTATGAGCTAACACAGCAGAAATGACAGAGATGTCTTCAGGTGACTCTCAGAGGGAATGTGATGTGACAACTATTGATGAGCTGAGCAAAGAAGAACTGGATGCACTCCAGAAGCTTGGCAATGAAACCATTTCCAGCCTAGAGGCTGACATAGAGCTGCTTGAGAGAAAGATCAAAAAGTTTGGACCAGGTGCTTTACCAATGTAAGATTCTTTTTTAATGGTCAATTATGTCATTTTCTGGGGGTCCTAGTGTTCTATTTTCTTTCTCTGATATCTTCATAGACTGGTTATTGTATATTTTACCCTAGAGCAGTAAAAGTTGTATCAAATCATCGAATCAGTACACTGCGGTCCCATTGTGGGGAAACTAGAATTGACCTACTGCCTACACAAAAGCATGTTGTCAGAGTCGACTGATTCGGAGCTTCCTTCAAAGTCTGCTGAAAAGGCAAGGAACCAGCAGTCTGCATAAATATATATATATATATATGTGTGTGTGTGTGAGTCAGATATGTCTTGTATATCTTCAAAGAACCAGATGCTGTTGTGCAGTTTCACATTTTTGTTGTTGTTGCCAAAATGGCTACCTGCAAAGGACATGATAAAGAAATAATTCATGTTTATGCTGACAAATGTTTATTCCATAAAGTAGTGCACTGGAAACCCACCTTGGCGAGAGACATTTTGCGAATGATACAGAAGTTGAATGTAAAGTGAAAATGTGTTTTAAAAATCGGAGCATGGAGTTCTATGCAGCAGGTTTTGGGAGGACTGATGAAACGATGGGACAAGTGCATCGGTGTTGGTGGAAATTATGTTGAAAAATAAAGGGACAGTGTGTTTATGAAAATAAATGGTTTTCAAATTGTTATCATCTGTTTTTTTTTTTTATAAACAACCATTTGTGACTCTTCTTAAATGACTTGACAGTTATCTCAGTCTACACATTACGAAATGTAACAAGGGCGAAACATTGAGCATGAAGACAATCACAGAAAGTAGGAGTGCAGAAAGAAAACTTAATTTTATATTTGTTCCCCATTTTATGTTGCCCCCTGAAACAGCATTCCCAAATGAGGCACTCTACTGCATATTTCCTAACAAATCATTTGGTAGAAATCTATTACCATTGTATAAGATGCAAACTGTTTACAGACCCTATATTTTTTTTAAATAAGTGCGCTTTATACTTGGGGGAAAACAGTACTTAGTGAAAGAATATAAATACAAAAGAAGAAACGGCAAACATAAACCACTTTCCTGTGCTCTTTTTAGGGTTGTATAATAATGTTTGTTATATTTTTCAGGCGAAATGACACCAGCTCAGTTACAGAAATGGAAAGCATTTTACAGAAGGACATCGACACATACAGTGCCAGAGTTTGTACCTTTTTATGAGGTTCTAATTATCTTTCTTCTTCAGATTCATCGGCTGTAAACTCTAGCAGAAAGAGTCACATCTATACATTAGTCTTGTTCCAGAACCTGAGTGTTGCGTGCAAATCTGCCTTATTTGTATGCAGACTTTTGGTTCCTTGCCTTAGGCAGATGTACTCGGACTTCGAAGGAAGCCTTCAATTAGTCGACTCCTGTCTGTTCTTGTTTTCCACCACAATAGGGCCCCAAAACCCACACAGAGAACCTGGTTTTACCCACATGTAGCAAACTTCTTTTTTTTTTTTTTTTATGGTTAGTTTCCAGTGACCACGGGTCAAGTTGAGCAGAACATCATGGCTAGCTCTTGAAGTACCAGAAAATGTTGCATAATATTCCCACGGATAGCAATAGTAAAGCAAAAGTTAAGGACCCTTTTCCACACTTTTAAGAGTATTGGGCATAAAGGGCTACACCAATTTTTTATACACCAATTGGCTCTTAGTGGATGATGGATGAACATCTTGCCGGCCACCTTTACTTCCCAAGACTTTACCTGATATCCATTTTAGGCTGGGTTCACCCGAGAGCTAAGGTCATTTGTGAAAAAAGTCAGACCTGGACCCGGACCATCCGATCCACAGGTGATCATCTAGCCACTACACAGTTTCCACTCTAAAAGGTAGCAGTAGTCATCATCATCAGGTGCCTTGCTGACTGGCATGGGCGATCATGCCTCTCCACAATCTGCGATCTCCTGCAGCATGTAACAGTTCGTGTGCCAACACACCTCCATGCATTGCAACAAGACTGTCAAGAATCTTCTCTCGTTGTCTACCTCTATCCTTCCTTCCACAGATCTTTCCCATGGTCACAACATGTTCCATTTTCCCACTTCTCATAACATGCCTGAAAAATGCTGACTTTATCCTTCTGATGTCTGTGATAAGTTGTCTTCGGGCTCCCACCTCTTTCAGAACCTCTTGGTTGCTCTTTTTGGCTGTCTAAGGTATTTTAAGCATTTTTCTGTAAAACCACATCTCTGAGGCCTCAAGAAAATTGTTTGGCCTGCCTACCAATTGTACAGGACTCACAGCCATATGCTAGTTGTAGTAATCTTACTAAATATAAAATTTGATCAACTGACTGTCACTGTCACCACTTTTGCCTGGTTAGGTCATCAAAATAACTAGCCCGGTTTAAGTAGTATGTCTAGAGAGAGCAGTAGAGATCTGGTTTCTGAAGGACATGAAAAAGAATTCCATATATAGAGTTGAGAGGAGTTAATAACCAATATCACAGTTCACAGGACATTTCCGTAAGTGTTCCAGCCTCATTTTCAACAGCAAAGAGTTCCAATTCCTGTGGTACCAGTAGCAGTTTGATTTTAAAATAATTTGCACCTATGTCATTCCGCTAATCATCTGAATATTTTTCTCTGGGTAGTGCTGTTGCTGCGTGTGCGCCTAACTTTCTGTGCCTGTCTATTTATGTCCAGCCTTTTATCTGTAGAGTGTCTCCGTGGTGAAGTGGCAAGCTATTTGCCTCGTACTTTAAAGGTGGTGGGTTCATTTCATGGCTGCATTGTGCAATTGTTACGTGAATCCCTGGGGATCATCGTCAGAGCTGCGAAGTTTGTGCTTTGGCTAGCCACACTGCAGATAGAGGTTGAGCTTTATGCCATAAAAGCCTAGTGCAGGGAAGACGATCCTCTGGACTTTATATTTTTAATTTTCAACTTCTGTCTGTACACCATCAGAATATGTCTGTGGTGTCATGCATGCATTTCTTATTTCTTTTTTGTTTGTTTGCCTGAAACTTTCCTGTCCTCTCAGCCGAGATTAAACATACATGTGTGACCCTCTCTTTTCCTAGCTGAAGGAAACGGTGAGACTGACCGGTGTCACAATAGAAAACATTAGCAGAGAAGTCTTGGAGCTTGGTATGTTTTAATTGGTGTTATTTCTATGTTTTCCTATAGCTTTGTTGACAAGAACCAGAGTTATGTCTATGTTTTCCTATTTTGTTGTTGACAAGAACCAGTGTCATGTCTATGTTTTCCTATAGCTTTGTTGACAAGAACCAGTGTCATGTCTGTGTTTTCCTATTGCTTTGTTGGCATAACCGGTGTCATGTCTGTGTTTTGATTTTCCTGTAGTTTTATTGACAAGAACCAGTGTCATATCTATGTTTTCCTATAGCTTTGTTGACAAGAACCAGTGTCATGTCTGTGTTTTCCTATTGCTTTGTTGGCATAACCGGTGTCATGCCTGTGTTTTCCTATTGTTTTGTTGACAAGAACCAGTGTCATATCTGTTGTCCTATTGCTTTGTTGACAGAACTGGTGTCATGTCTATGTTGTTGACAGAACCGGTGTCATATCTGTGTGTTAATTTTGCTTTCTTGACCGAACCAGTGTCATGCCTATGTTTTCCTATTGTTTTATTGACAGAACCGGTGTCATGTCTGTGTTTTCTTATTGCTTTCTTGGTGGAACTGGTATCATTTCTATATTTTCCTATTGCTTTCTCATCACAGCATTCTGGACAGTCCCATATAAGCGCCATCATCCTTCTCAACAGCCAGTGAAGAGTCTCTATACTGATGGTACTCACTGTTATCTGGGATTAACTACTTGTCTTGCTCTGGAGTGACACCACCTCTCTCCCCCCCCCCCCCCATCTCTCCCAGCATCATTCTCTCTAGTTTTCATTATTTTCTATTTTACTTGTTAGTAACGGAGTAGTAGAGACCAGAGAGAGCCGTAGATGAAGTTTCTGAAGGATATGAAAATGATGAGTTTAAACCCCATGTCACAGTTCACCCTAAGATCTCCGATCTTATTTCAGCAGTCATCAAAGAGTTTCATTTCTGATCATACCAGGAACACTTTGATTATATGTCTGTTTTGCTTTGCAAACTACTTATATTGCCCGAAACCACACAACAGCCAGGGGATTGTAGGTTGGTGCAAAACGTCTGTAAAGGATACGCAACTAACTTTTTTTGTTGTTTTTTTTTTTTGTGTGTGTGCTTAACCGCAGATCGTAGAGTGTCGACCAGATTACGTGATCAGTTCCTACTAAACCTTTCTCTACACACCATAATGATCTGTTCCTGCTTCTATACTGTTTACTTGCTGCCAAGGCACCCAACAACATCCAGCATATTTGTCTGTGTGCTCAAGACAGCTCATATACGTGATGACCCCCTTTTGTTTGACCGAAAACTTTAGAAATAAGTATTTAAAAATGGACCTCCAAATCTTCAACTGATAATGTTTGGGAAAACATCATCTCATACACATCAAAATTCAGCAGCTTTTGATCTGTATGTATGTATGTATGTGTGTGTGTGGAATATGTATGTATGTATGTGTGTGTGTGTGGAATATGTATGTATGTATGTGTGTGGAATATGTATGTGTGTATATGTGGGTGTGCATGCGCTTGAGTTTGCATGCATTTTACCACCCATGCTTTTGTGTTTTTTCTTGATATTCACAATATGCATATTATTTTCTGATTATAACTTGCTTTATTGATAAAATACAACTGCTGTGTGAACGACGGGTGTTCGGATGGGCCGGATGTGAGGTGAGCCTGCGTGCCCAATTTGTGACCCTTTGATTATAAAGTTCTTTGTTCTTTCGTTCAGTTCATCACCTAGAGAAGCACTAGCTGTAGTACATTTAAAAACTAATTAGGCACGGTTTTAAGAGGTGGATAGAAATCACAAACTGAGTAGAGAAATGAGCTGTTGACAGTCATGATATATAAATCAATTCGTTGAAAAAGAAAGTCTGAAATGGTTTGGCCATGTAATGAAAATGAATCCAATGATGCCAGCAACAAGAGCGTACAGCATAAAAATAGAACCATCAAGAGTGTAGGGAAGACAAAGAAGAAAATGGGTTGAAGGAGTCACTAACATCTTGAGACTCTGTGTCACAGCATACAGAGCATACCCTAGCCCGGAGACTGATCGTCTGTTGACCTGCAACACCTAGCCGTTCAAAGGAGATAAATAACAAAATTAAGTCATGGTATGGTTAATAATGTATGGAGAAGAAGTCTTCTAGTTTTTAGGGCCAAATTACATGAAGTAAGTATGTTCATTTGTTGACAGATGACAACCACTGCATAAAACAGTTTGCTCTGGAACTGCTGTTCATGAACCGAAAAGTTCACCTCAAGTACACATTGGAGGACACCTGGGTAAGCAGATCATCATCATCATCCTCACTTAGTGCCTTGCATCTTCTTCAAGTTCACCGACTGTAAACTCTACAGAAACTTCTGGCTGTTCACCCACTTCTGGACTCCAGCCCTGTTCCAGAACCGGAGTGTTGCATGCACATCAGTTTTACAGATGTGACTAATTTGTATGCAGATTGTTTGTTCCTCGCCACTCAGGCACATGCGCTATGACTTCAAAAGAAGCTCCCAATTAGTCAAGTCTTAGGACATTCTTTTGGATAGGCAGTTGGTCTATTCTTGTTTTCCCCATAATGGGGCCCTGGAACTCACATATAGAATGCCTCGCAGTCACTGGCATATGTCACATAAGAGTTTTACTATATAGGTCTTGTTCTTTAGCACCCTAACGACACAGTCTCCTTAGTCTCTTGAGAACCACCTTATTTTTACCTTGGGTACAAATACATCTAGGAGACTTAACTATCAGCACAGTTTCACATTATATCTTTGAGTCAAGATCCTTGGCATTTTCGAAATATTTATTCTTTGTAGTCACGCATATCTTTCATTCTGCTGGCCGGACAACAAATGGCTGCTATCGGGAATACGTCAGTTCAGTAGTTTTGTGTATTCGTGTCTACATATATGGTTTTATTGTTACATCTAATGAACTGATGAAGGCTCTGTAGCCGCAGTGTTCACTTTCCGTATGCGTTTGTTATATTGTGAAGCTCATATACTTTTCAGTTTGGTTTTATATCTTTTTTTGACTGTTCTTTAGCAGTATGATTCAGTATAGTGCTTGGTTTCATAACCTGATGCCAGACTGTCCAGAATTTTTCCGTTGCTGTTTTTCTCTGTCTGTTTCCCCGTTTTGATAGCTGTTACGCTTTTCTGATAATTATGGTGGATAGGCAGGTTTACTGTTTTTGCTTCTGACAAAAATTAGCTGCTGCATATTCCTCCAAGTATTTTTCTTTCGAACAGAAGCATAGCAACTCTGGGGTGACTTGTTTGCTTGAAAGTTACAACTGCAATTATCTGATTACATGATAGTTGTTTCAGTTCATGTTGAAACCAGTGGTGCAGGGCTTAGCACACTGGCCTGGCAGCCTTGTCATCATGTCATTGAATCCCTCCAAGAGAGTAGTGTTTGTGTTGCATATGACTTCCAGGAATCAGCTGTTCTAAAAATGGATTCTGTGTAGCTCAGCAAAGAAAATACACTTTTGTAGTTGAAGTCAATTGTCAAACCACAAATCACAAAGAAACACATCAGTTGACGGACATGAAGAAGATGGTGACACAAACACATACGACATGTCTTGCAGACAAGAGATACGACATGTCTTGCAGACAAGAGATATGACATGTCTTGCAGACAAGAGGTGATTGAATGGATAAGTGTGTTTTGCAGACCAGTGTTGGAGAGCAAGGGGGAAAGATCACCTGGTTCGAGGTCAAGTTTGAAGAGGACATTAATGAAGCTGTCGGAGCAGAAATTGCTAAGTAAGTATGCTCATCATCGTCACTCTTGTTCTCATCATCATCATCACACTTGTTCTCATCATCATCATCCTGAATCTTGTTCTCATCATCATCATCATTACTCTTGTTCTCATCATCATCATCACTCTTGTTCTCATCATCATCCTCACACTTGTTCTTATCATCATCATCATTACTCTTGTTCTCATCGTCATCCTCACTCTTGTTTTCTTGTTCTTATCGTCATCCTTGTCACTCTTGTTCTCATCATCATTGTCACTCTTGTTCTCATCATCATTGTCACTCTTGTTCTCTTCATCATTGTCACTCTTGTTCTCATCATCATTGTCACTCTTGTTCTCTTGTGCTTATCGTCATCATTGTCATTCTTGTTCTCATCATCATCATTGTCACTCTTGTTCTCTTCATCATTGTCACTCTTGTTCTCATCATCATTGCTCTTATCATTATCCTCATCACCATTGCCCTCAAAACCACCATTGCCCTTATCATTACCATTGCCCTCATTATTACCATTGACCTCGTCGTCATCATTGTCACTCTTGTTCTCATCATCATTGCTCACATCATTATCCTCATCACCATTGCCCTCATCATTACCATTGCCCTCATCATCACCATTGCCCTCATCATTAGCTTTGCCCTCATCACCATTGCCATCATTACCATCGACCTCATCTTCATCATCATTGACACTCTTGTTCTCATCATCATTGCTCTCATCATTATCCTCATCACCATTGCCCTCATCATCCCCATTGCCTTCATCATTACCATTGCCCTCATCATTACCATTGACCTCATCATTACCATTGCCCTCATCATCCCCATTGCCTTCATCATTACCATTGCCCTCATCATTACCATTGACCTCATCATTACCATTGCCTTCATCATTACCATTGACCTCATCATTACCATTGACCTCATCATTACCATTGACCTCATCATTACCATTGACCTCATCATTACCATTGACCTCATCATTACCATTGCCTTCATCATTACCATTGACCTCATCATTACCATTGCCTTCATCATTACCATTGACTTCATCATTCATTGACCTCATCTTACCATTGACCTCATCATTCATTGTCATCATTACCATTGACCTCATCATTCCATTGCCTTCATCTTACCATCGTCATCATTACCATTGTCACTCATTGTTCATTCATTGACCTCATCATTACCTGATCGTCATTCATTGTCATCACTCTTGCCTTTCTACCATTGCCTTGCATTATCATTGCCTTCATCATTACCATTGCCTTCATCATTACCATTGTCTTCATCATTACCATTGCCTTCATCATTACCATTGACCTCATCATTACCATTGACCTCATCATCACCATTTCCCTCATCATTATCATTATCAACATCATCATCACTTCCTTCTTTGTCATCATCATTATGATCATCACTCTCATCACTGCCTTCATTATCATCATCATCATAATTGCCCTAATTACCTTTATCGTCACATTCTTCATTAGTATCATCATAACCAACATTATCACCATCATCATTACTACTATCATCATCATGAGCTGTCTCAGTAATGAGTGCAAGAATTGGATGTTATTTATCTCAACATAGGAGCACGACTGTGGTTGGCTATCTTACCCTCTTGTAGCACATTCTGTTTATAAACCTGGGCACCACAGAGACTGGGGATGTTCCTTCAGTTTTTTACCTTGACTAGTAAAAGTAAAGTCAGCGGCACATAGGTGTTGAGTGCCTGTGTGGCTATGGGACGATTGTACGATGATAGTGAATGACGCTTAGCGACCAAACATTCCACAGCGGGAATTTCCAGTTGCAACATCATGATGACGGATGAGTGAAGACTCTAGGATTCACGAGGAGTTGACGGTCCTCACAGTGAATGGGAGACTGGACAAAAAAAAGACAGAGCCAAGAGTTTTCGGGGGGGTTGGCTCAGAGACCTGGACTGTGACTTGTTGTTTTTGATGGCCAGAGTTTTCATAGATGTTGGCGTTGGGACACCTAGCGACAGTTAAGGAAATATTTGGTGCTAATGTGACGGCGTTTAGTGTTAGTTGGTTGAAGAACTGTTCACCCAATTAGTAATCTGTATATTAATGAGGTGGTCCGAAAAGGGGCTTTGTTAGTATAAGAAGAAGAACATAATGATGTCGTGGGCACTGTATTAAGAAATTTGAAAATTATAAGTTCTTGCATGTGACTATAAAGAAAAAGGAAGGAATCTATGGCAGACATTTGAAAATAAGATGGCTCCGCAGGTTTAAGCTAATTGAGAACTGTTCTAAAAGAAAAGAGCCAGTGGAGATACAAGTGATCTATACAAATATCATTATCAATCATCAGGTCTTTTACAGAATGTTGCTATCATCACGGCATGCCTGAAAGTCTCTCTCTAGTCAATAATCCAGCCCTATGTGCTTTTTTTGTTTAAAAAGTTAATTGCGTATCTTTTACAGGACGTCGCAGAACCAACCCCAGTTTGTATTTTTTTTTTTTTTTAGGTGTTGCGGGTTTTTTAGGCAAATTTTACATTCAGTAGTTTGCCATTGCTACTGAACAGTCAGCTCCCTGTACCACTGTCAAAACCAACGCAAGACAAATTGTCCGCAGCTAGGATTGAACCTGGCACCGCGGCTTTACGAAGCGCATTTGCAATGCCTAAGCCACAGACGCCGATATGTGCTTTCACAGCCAATGTATTCTATTGTCTTCGTAGAGGTCTTCCTCTGCCTCGTTTTCTGAAAACTGCTCTCCAACACCACTCTCTCAAGGCCACCATGACATAGCGAAAATACCTCTGCTGTAAGGAAAGGATGCTGTGAATGAGCCAGTTCTCTTTGATGTTCAGATCCTGTAGAATGATGGTGTGTTTCTTCTTCTTGGTCCATGGTATTCTAAGAATGTTTGTGTAGCATTCCATGCATCACTCTTGGAGTGATCCAAGACAAAATGTTTGAGAAACTGGTGGGGAAAATGTGAAATTTATAAGAAAAGGAGCGGACAATCTTAAAACTGATTTGTCAGTTTGAAATTTGCAGATATTTGGAACTAATGGAGATATGTGGGAACTGAACAGAAATTAGGAGATAGTGCAGTCCTGGCAGAGCTTCAACAAATTCATTTTAGAGTTTGATCCCACTTAAATTTTTATTTTCTACTGTGAGTGCCATCATATAGCTACGTTAAATACAAGATAAATAATTCTAACAAACAGAACCTAAAATAATATTTCCACAGAGCAGCTGACAATCTGGCAATACATTCCGTGTTCTCAATACTGAAGAGCTTTGTCCAGTGGCAGGTTAGCCGGGATAAGATGATGAAACATTTCACAGAGAAATACCCGGAGAATGTCTCACAGCAGACGGGCAAGGAGAGGAACCAGTGCCTGAGGATTATCAACAAGCCAGATCGGTGAGTTGTTGTTTTTTTTTTTTTTTTGACGGAGGGACCTTAGCCGCCAATCAGATATCACCATCATCGTGTGCCTTACCAGATGGTGTAAGCATCAGTGTCTCTCCACAGATAAAAGGCTTCAAGGACAGCCCAGCTTAAAGTGAGTACTGTGGAATGTCATGGGAAGTAAAGGTGGCCAGCGTGGTTTTGATCACATCGCCCATCGCGAGTGGATGATTGGTCTATATAAAATGGTTTCAGGCCCCATATGCCTGAGATGCCACTGGCATGACAAGAGAGTTTCTTACGTTTACTGTTCTTTACTTTTCTGTTCTTTTTTTTTCTTTTTTCTAAACAGATAGAAGTCTTATGTGTTCTAGATCAGCCCCTTAGTGTTCAAAATCAGCCCCTATGTGTTCAAGATCAGCCCGTTTGTGTTCTAGATCAGCCTCTTTGTGTTCTAGATCCAGCCCCTTTGTGTTCTAGACCAGCCCCTTTGTGTTTTAGGTGAGTCCCTTTGTATTCTAGATCAGCCCCTTTGTGTTTTAGGTGAGTCCCTTTGTATTCTAGATCAGCCCCTTTGTGTTTTAGGTGAGTCCCTTTGTGTTCTAGATCAGCCTCTTTGGTTCTAGATCCAGTCCCTTTGTGTTCTAGATCAGCCCCTTTGTGTTTTAGATCAGCCTCTTTGTGTTATAGATCCAGCCCCTTTGCGTTTTAGGTGTCCCTTTGTATTCCAGATCAGCCCCTTTGTGTTTTAGATCAGCCTCTTTGTGTTATAGATCCAGCCCCTTTGCGTTTTAGGTGTCCCTTTGTGTTCTAGATAGCCCCTTTGTGTTCTAGATCAGCCCCTTTGTATTCTAGATCAGCCCCTTTGTGTTCTAGATCAGCCCCTTTGTGTTCTAGATCAGCCCCTTTGTGTTCTAGATCAGCCCCTTTGTGTTCTAGATCAGCCCCTTTGTGTTTTAGATCAGCCTCTTTGTGTTATAGATCCAACCCCTTTGCGTTTTAGGTGTCCCTTTGTGTTCTAGATCAGCCCCTTTGTGTTCTAGATCAGCCCCTTTGTGTTCTAGATCAGCCCCTTTGTGTTATAGATCCAGCCCCTTTGTGTTCTAGATCAGCCCTTTTGTGTTATAGATCCAGCCCCTTTGTGTTCTAGATCAGCCCCTTTGTGTTATAGATCCAGCCCCTTTGTGTTCTAGATCCAGTCCTTTTGTGTTCTAGATCAGCACCTTGGTATTCTAGATCAGCCCCTTTGTGTTTTAGGTGTGTCCCTTTAATAAAATTTTATGAATGATAAGACACAAATCAAAGTCGACAGGATGGCGCTGCATGACAGACTGAAAAAAAGGAAAATACACCATAATTTTCCCAAGAAGTTAATCCTCTGAATTGTGAAAAAAAAGGTTAACGAGGGAAGACAATATACACACACAAGAAAAATTTGACATTCCCCTTTCTCTTTTCTCCTTCATTAAACTTCTTAGCCACAGTTAAGTGGATACATTTTTTGGCACAGTGCAGACCTGATAAGAAAAACTCACCGGGGACCCTAGAAATTATTCTTCTTATCCGAAATTCCTCTTATTTGGATACGAGTTCAAGCCATACAATTTCCCGGGGAAGAAAAACAACATAAATTTGCCACATCTGAGATCACTTTAAGCAGTCTGCACTGTATTGGTTTGATTGCAGTCACCGCAGATTTCATCTCTCTTTTTTTTTTTTTTTAACCAGGAAGGAGAAAGATGACACAGCTGGTATTAAGATTACCCTTGGTGGCTATGAGAAAGCAGATCATCCGTGGTGGTTATGAGAAAGTAGAATACCCTTAGTGTTTATGGGGAGGCAGATTACCCTTGGTGTTTATGGGAAAGCAGATTACCCTTAGTGTTTATGGGAAAGCAGATTACCCTTCGTGTTTAAGAGAAAGCAGATTACCCTTGGTGTTTGCAATAAGTCGTCTTCTACTTGCAGTAAGTAGTTGATGACCTTAGGCTGGTTGTCTAGGAGATGATGTGTCTAGTGAATGATCTTAGCACACATTCTTAAGATGACATAACTGGGACAAGCCGACACTGACTTTGAAGTACGAAACAGTTTATTGACATCTCATCACCCACATAGAATGTCCCGTCCGTGTCCTAATTCACAGCTTACACGCACCACATGGTTCAGATGCCAACACGCTGACTTCTCACACATTCATTGGCCAGAGTTCGGCTCCTTCACTTCCACATCACCACATAGACAGATCTGGTCATTTCCTCAAGCTTTGTAACACATGGCTTTGCTGGTCTTGGCTTGGCTGGACTTGGCTGGGCTGGTCTTGGCTGGGCTGGACTTGGCTTGGCTGGACTTGGCTGGGCTGGACTTGGCTTGGCTGGACTTGGCTGGGCTGGACTTGGCTTGGCTGGACTTGGCTTTGATGGGTGTTGTCGTCTGGTCTTCCTTTCACAACACTCAGTTTCACATTGTCATTCGCACGAATACTCCCACGTTCTCTCACTCTGACGGTCAACACATACTAACACATACTAGGCTGGGGTCTGATCCTATACCCAGGGTTCGTTCCACGTGACAACACGTGGTTGTTCTTGTGTTCCACGTGGCGACCTGTGGTCATTCTCCTTTGGCTCCACGTGATAACTCGTGGTCGTCCCCTATCTTGAAAACCTTGGTTAATCCGAGTATCTGGCTTCCCTCAGTATTATTGTTAGCTTGGGGCTTTCCCCCCAACCTTCCTAATCAGGGTGAAAATATCCCCCATTACAGTGTTTATGAAAAGGCAGATTACCCTTGGTCGCTATGAGAAAGCAGATTACCCTTGGTAGTTATGAGAAAGCAGATTACCCTTGGTGGTTATGAGAAAACCATCTCATCTGCCATAAATTCCCCTGACTGCCCTTGAGTGAACGAATCAGTGAGATGACATGAATGGCAGAGCAAAAACATCTTCTTCTTTTTAGTGTTCACGGGCTGTAAACTCTATCAGAGACCCAGGTATGAAGTGTGCAGTGCAACACATGACTTCCACTGTTCCATACAACTTGGTTTTATTGCCAACCTGGGAACCAGCCAAACCTGGGATCTCTCTACTGCATGTAGAGGGCACATATTCAGTGTTCTGTGGTGTCCACACGGGCACAGCTCTGAATCCACAGAGAATTTCCTGTACATTAGGCTGCAGAGTCTGTTGCATCCAGTATGCAATGATCCATACAGCTTGGTTTCCTCTGAAATGCCAACCAGCCAAACCTGAAATGTGTGTTGTGAGTACTGAGAAGTCTATGTTTTATTAAAGTCTATGTGATAATGTCTGTGAGAGGCATGAAAGAATGTACAATAATGAGATGGTTGAAGCCCCATGCTTGCTAACCATTATGAGAAGAAGACTGAAGTAAGTATTCTCTTCTCATTCCTTCGCTGTCTTGCAGTTTCTTTTCTCATGTTTTTACTGACTAATAGTTTTTCATCTCATATTTTTGTTTACTATCTCCTACTTTCTTCTCTCATATCTTTTCTGTCTTAATTTGTTTGTCTCATTCTTTTACTGTCTTTTCTTATACTTTTGCTGTTTTCATTTCTTTTCTCATACTGTTTCTTTGTCATAGTTTATTTTCTCGTACTTTAATGTCTCATAATTTCTTAAATGATATTTTTGCTGTCCCGTTAACCCTTTTAAATGCCCTTATAATCGCAGTCCTGAGTTCGTCTTGGAGTTGGGCCGAAAGATTGTCAATTCCAGAGTGGAGGCAGATGTCAAAGTGGAAGTGAATGCACCCAAGGAATGTAAGTATATGTACACGTGTAACTACATCTGAGTGATTAGGACTTCCTTCTTTGTCATTCCCTGGCATGTGTCCTATTAATTGATGATTGTTGTCCCTATCAGCATATCATGTAAAGACACAATGACAGCATTTTATGTTAGTGTCCATTATATAATTTTTCTGAGCATTTATATCTAGGTGGGTAAGTTGTACCCCACTTGTACATCACACAAGCGATAAACACCCAGTGATACAAAGTGCCACCATCTGGATGAGGATCACCCATAGAGAGGTCCCGGAAACCACGTTCAGCAGTTAGGCCACGTTTAAGGCCCGGCTATATTTAGGGTCCCCAGCAAAAGCCAGGGTTGGGCTTCAAAATAACAAAAAATTGCATCCCACATGAAGACGACGCTCAGTAACTGAGCATTTGAAATAAATCTGGCTGATTACTATAACATGCAGTGTGTATTTTGTATCTTGGAAAGTTATACACTCAGCTTTTAATTATTTTGTTTATTGCCCCTTTGGCCATCTGCTCCAAAAAAATGACTGGGGAAGGAAAGAGTTTGCCTCTTTTGTGCCAGAGTTTTACATCAGATGCCTGTAGGGTCAAATAACTACAGTGAAAAATTAGAGACTTACTTCTTCTTCTTCTATTCCACTTTTACCTCTTCGGTTGTTGAGGTAGCTAAAGTTCTACCTCTGCTCTTCTGGCCACCTTGACTATAAACCAGTTGTGCTGTTGTAAAGTTTCTCTGATGTTATCTTTCCATCTAATTTTTTGTCTACTTTGTACTCTACATCCTTCTGCTCTTTTGGTGTATGCATGTTTTACACTATGGTCTGACTATGCATTGGACTTTGGATGGCAGATGTCTGTTGTATGGTATGAGCAAAAAAGAACACATGATGCATAGGCTTAGACTTAAGGAACAATGCCTCATCATGTGTTGTCAGGGATTGATGGAGCTAGCCTATATAATGCATGTGTAAACAGGTACTAGAGCGGAGCAGCTGGTTGAGCAGCTAGAGTGCTGGGCTGTCATGTGGCAGACACAGGTTTGAAAGTCTGTAAGGAATAGAGATTTTTCATGTCAGGGACGAACAAAACAGTCCTAACCTGCACAGTCCGTGGCGACTGCAATAGCCAGGTCGCCTTAAATCATAAGGCTCACCGCAATCCTTTCCTAGCCTGCCTTACAAGTTGTACGTATATATAATATATATATATATATATATATATATGTATACAGACAGTACAGGCAGTTTTTTCTATACAGATGGGGGACGCGTTAGCGCAGTCGATAAGAGGCTTACTTTCAAATCCAGCTGCAACTAGCTGCAGCCCACGGTCGGTGTTCGAAACCGGACGGCTTCCAGTGTTCACCCAGCCTCTAGGAAATGGGTACCAGAGTTGATACTGGGGTAAATGGAGGAACAGAGTTACGTGCGAACGGCGACACAGGCGGACAATTCTTATCATCTGTCCGTACTGGTGGCAGAGCACCACAACCTACAACAAGGCCATTCAACTAAGTTTGCTTGGGGGCTAAACTTAGGGAAATGGAGATCGTCGTGGGCCAGAGGAACAACCCCCAAGCTGCAGATGGCCGGGCTATAGATCACGCTGTCATTGTTAATGCTGTTAGAGAGATAGGACAATATGAGTATTTTGAGAGCAGCATGTCCGTGTCAGTGCTAAGAATGAAAAATGTGCATTCTCTCAGGCTTGAGAAGCACATTGGACGTATAAGAACACTTGTTAACCAGTATAGGACTGGCACTATTAACCACAGAACACGGATGTGTATGTTGAGGGGAAATATGAGCACTTATGGACATGTTGAGAGTGCCATGAAAATAACCCAGATCTTAATTCTAACTATTTTCTAAGAAAGACAAATTAAAGGCAAAGAAGTGTACTTCAGGTGGTGCACGACAAATCTTCGAACCCATCAGATATACAGATAGCGGAGATTAAAGAGTCAGAAGCAAAAAGGAAATTCATAATCGGTTTAAATCCCCATTTATTGCTGGCATAATGAGGTTTAATAGACTGCCATGGTGAGGGCATATCGAGTAAAGGACCCTTTTCTACGCCCTCAGGTATATTGGGCATAATGTGCTAGGCCTGTACTTCATAGACCAATCGGCACTCAGCAAGTGATGGGTCAACTTTACCTGGTACCCATTTAAGGTTGGGTCACCTTGGCAATCAAAAATAGGAGTCTCTGACATGTAGAGAGAAGGGCAAATAATAGAGGTGCAAAACGTGTGTATACAAATATTTTAATGGGAATAGACCACCGGAAGGACAGTGGGGAGATAATATAGACAGACTTACAAACACTTGAAGTTATCAACTGGAAAAATGAAAGCTAATCACAGAGATGATGGGAGGTGGGTGATATATGCAGCAATGAACTCAGGGTCTCTGAATGATAAACAAGAGGAAATGTACTTTATAGAAGTTTCTGAAAATGACATTTAATGAGGTCTGGGTGTTTTGTTTCTTTGTCTTCAGTGTTGGAAATGGACAGAAAGAAGATTCTCAGGGCTATCCCAGACATGTTTGCTACGATGGTGAAGAATTTGGGCCTGGAAAAGGCCATTGATGGCCTCATTCAGATGGTGATTTCTGATGGGCAGAGAATTCTTCAGACACATTCAGTGCCAATAGAAACACCACCAGAGAATGCAGAATCAGTGGAAACACCACTGGGAAAAACATCACAAGATGATGAAGAGTTTATGGAAACACCACAGGAGGAGATTTGAAGTTTTCTGTTTAAAAACAAAAATATATACCAGTTCACATTTTATGTAAAACATAATAATAGAAAAGGCAAGAATAGGAATTTGTGTTTGTTTTTATTTTAACATATTTCCAGGTAGTAATATTACTTAGTATTTTGTGATCTGAAAGTATTGGAGAATTTTCAGAAATGCCATTTGGTCTGAAGACTGTGTGAAGGCAAAACCCTAACTGCATGGTAAACACACTGAGGAGTGGTCATCACAGCTTGGCGACCGAGTATCCACCGGGATAAGTGGAAACCTCTGAGGTGCCCTCTCCTGTCAGCAGGAATATTACAGAACAGGTCTCTCACTCACCCTGGCAATATATAAAGTTGCCAGTCACAATTATTTACTTATTTTGTAATAATTAAATCAAGTCAGGATAGAGGAAAAACATCTTTATTCTTGTAATTAAGCCGAAATAAAACAACCAGATTTGTAGCCACCAACAAAGCATTGATGATAATGATGGTAATTTACTATGATGCAGCGACCACTGTAACATGAAACAATTTAGCAATGATGAAATAGCATGGAAAAGTCTTTAAACATAAACGGATTACAAAGTTACATAGAAAACATGCACAACAACAGTAAAGTTTCACAACAGGAAAATCGATAACACAAGAAGTGGGACGAGATGCCAGGTCAGGGCGGCGCTGGAGTTGCTTCCGTTGTCCTCTCTGCTTGGGGCTATCACAGGAGTGTCATCTGAAAAAATTTTAAATAGTGTATCCTACATTTTGTTACCATTGCTTCTCTTCTTTTGTTACTACTGGACCACTACAAGTATTATGCGGTTATTCGTACCAGACGCTTGCCTGTGGATCGGAAGGTCGTGGGTTCAGATCCAGATGGAGCTGGAATATTTTACAAAAGTGGCCTTGGCTCCCAGCTCTACCCAGCCTTAAATGGGTACCAGGTAAAGTCCTAGGAAGTAAAGGTGGCCGGCGTGATACTGACCACAGTATCCAGCAAGTGCTGATTGGTCTATAAAATATAGGTCTAGCCCTGTTTGCCCAGGAAAGCGTGAAAAATAGGAAGCTTCCAATTAGTCGATGCCTTCGACATACTTGTTTGGGAGACAGTGGGTCTATTCTTGCCTCCCTCCCCCCCCCCCCCACTTTCCCGACCACAAATAGGACCCAGAACCTGCACAGAGATAGAGAATTATAAGGATGGGGCTCTAAGGCCATTGATGTTTTCTTCCCTAGAAAAGTCTAGGGAAACAGAGCCTCCATCCCACCCCAAAGTTTTCTTTTGTTTCAGACGACCTGACCAGTACTATTGTTCGTCTTCTTCGCTATCAGCGGCTGTAAACTCTGGTAGAAAGTTCTGGTTGTTCGTCCACTTCCGGAAGTAAGTCATCTTCTAGAACTCTAATTATGCCTCCAGATTCATTTTACAGATCAGACCTTTTTGTATGCAGACTGCTGGTTCCTTGTCTGTCAGGCAGATGTACTCCAACTCCAGAGGAAGTGCCTCTGGTTAGTCGACTTGTATGACATGCTTCTTTTGGCCCCGGAACCTACATGGAAATGTCCATTGAAAAAAGCAGGTTAACACGATCGGTTGCACTTGCCAGCGTTTGATCCGTTTCATGTTTTAAGCTGTCTATTCAAAGTTTTTAATTTTCTGTTTAACTCTTTGAGTCCCAGGGGGTTTAGCATCACAGGCCCAGGGAGGAGTCAAGAAAGTTATAAAATCGGCGCATCATGCGTTCATTGGGCTCCTAGGTAGGAACCTATGAACGTATGATGCATTCCTTGGGACTCAAAGAGTTAATTACTTGTACGTAGGAAGATAGATCTCCTATTTAGAAGAGCTGCAGGAGTTTCAAGGAAAGACAGAATACGAAATCAGACGAATGCTAGGAATAGAGACAGTCTCACAAGTCATCAATCAAATAACAACAAATGAAGTGGTTTGGACACCTAACAAGAATGCCCTGGTACTATCTACCACAGCGAGCCACACCAAAACGTACAACGGGTTTAGAGCGAGTGGAAGACCTCGGAAGAGATGGAGATGGCATTAGGGAACAGCCTTACAGAAATGAACATAAGTTTTAATAATGCTCTTGACAGAGCTCATCAACGAACGTTACGTCTCCCCCCGACACTTCAATGAGGTACATGGTGGAAGAGAACGAATGAACAAACTTTATTTTTAAAGGAATAAGAATTGGGCACGCAGTCCCGTCTAACATTCTGCCCTTCGAGGTCTCCCACCATTCTTACATCATTTCATTCACACATCAAGTAATAAACATAATTAAAAGTATCAAAATATTCAGTAAAAGCACTGAAATGTCTACATTTCAAACTACAATAAACCGTAGTGGTTGTTATAAAACTAGGGAAAATGGCGCAGAGAAGAAGAAAAAGGTAGATAGATAAGACAAATATTGAGGGATTTGCAGCTTACTGACCTGGAGTTGCAGGATTGCCTGGCACAACGACAGCGCTGTCTGGTTCTGATCTCGTGGCTTCACCAACAGAGCTGGGCTGGCAGTCATTGGGATCGTTTCGCGTAGGACAATGACCTTTTCGGTTGTGTTCTGTGGAGCCTGTTGAAATTTGTCACTTGTGATTACTATACGGAAAACCTCTTTGGTCAATCAATCTTTATATTTGTATTCTAACATACTTTGAAAGAAAACGCTGGGATAGAACAAGAAACAGTCTCTGCTCCTTACTCCACCTCAACTTCATCTTCTTCCTCTTCTCTTTCGTCGTCTCCTTCTTCTTCATTCTATCCCTTATTTCTCATTGTACGTGCAGATACGGGCAGTTGATACACAGACAAAGAGGACAGAACCTTTCAGAGAAACTGACAGATATAGACAGCTAGATGGCAGAAAGGTAGAGATGAATATAATAACAGACATGCATAGATTAGCCAGACAGACAGATAGATAGTTAGGTGGGTAGATAGATAGATCGATAGACAGATCAATCGATAGATAGATAGATAGATAGATAGATAGATAGATAGATGGAGACAGACAGACAGACAGATAGATAGAGAGAGAGAGACAGACAGATAGATAGACAGACAGACGGATGGATGTATATACACAGACCACTGACCTATAGGGTAGCTAATCTTGGTGTCACACAAGTCCACAATCTCATCCACGTACTCCTCACTGCCCGGGTCTGCAGTATAGCTCTGATGAAAGCGGCCGTCCCTGTGTAGGAGATACGCCAGGTATGACTCCCCAACCTCCAGATCTTTGGACAAACAGTGACCCGGGACACTGCCTAGATCAAACGAAAAAGATGGAATTCGTAGTAGTAAAACAATTAGGCAAGCGAAACTTTCACTGCACTAGGAAGTTTGTAGAGGTTAGACAAATTTTTGTTAAAAATAGTAAAATTAAAACATTTAATTCTAGTGTCAATTTTGTACTGCTGTACGGGGCGGAAACATAGAGAACATCTGGTTGGCTGACTTTTTACCCCACCAGGACATCACACTCAGCGATAAGCACCCGGTGACACAAAGTGCCAGCATTCGGATGAGGATCACCCGCGTAGAGGTCCCAGAAACCCCTGTGCAACTGTTAGGTTCTATTAGGGCCCCCGGCAACAACAAGGGTGGGGCTTCAAACTCACGAAACATTCGTCCTTCATGGGGACAGAGAGTATTAAGAACAACTAAAACAGTTTCCTAATAAACCCATATAAATTACTGACTGACTGACTGACTGACTGACTGACTGACTGACTGACTGACTTTCTACCCCACCAGGACATCACACAAGCGATAAACACCCGATGACACAAAGTGCCACCATGCGGATGAGGATCACCGTGGAGAGGTCCCAGAAACCGCGTTCAGACAATTGGCCATATTGATGGCCTGCCTATATTGCGGCCCCTGGCAAAAGCCAGAGTGGGGCTTCAAATTAGAAAAAATTACGTCCTGAAAAGGTCGCATTACTGTATAAATTACTGCAATCTGCATGATTAATGAATCAAGATAGGAAAAAAGAGCAACAGGTCAGGAAAACCACATTCATCCGCATATATTGTCTAATTTCTGAGCAGCAGCAAACGTCGCATTAGCTGAAAACTACAATTTTGTTGCATCGAATAATTTTGTGTGTGTGTGTGTGTGTGTGGAAAACTCCTTTCTACTTTGTTGGGTTAACAGTCAGGTGTGTCGCGGAATGATTTTGTTAAGCCGAAAGTACAAAACCGTTAGGAACTCTAAGGTAGATAATTCACTGACTCAGTTCTGTCGGTGATTCTGCAATTAAACACGTCGACACAATCGTTTTTGAGCAACCATTTTTGGCTACCCAATGGTCCTCTCCAGCCTTGTATGAGATTCGTTGTATGCTGTCCTTCAGTGACCATAGCTAGATGTCTGGCCAGTAAGGCGTGCGTCAATGGTTGTACATTTTGTATATATACACGCGTGCGCACACACACACACACACACACACACACAAGTATACTGGGGTTTGTAAACAACTTTGGAAAAAAAAAGAAACACTTGGCGGGTGAAATGTTTAACATCACACTAGCCGCTTTTACTTCCTGGTACCCATTTAAGGTTTAATCGTGCTGGGAGCCAAGGTCATTTCTGAAAACAGTACGGGTTCGTCTAGACCTCAACCGAAAAATAAATTTTTGTTTTTGCTTGTCTGCCTATTGTTCATGTTTCGCATGCATGTAACAGCATAAGTTCTACGTAACACTTTAACAGTCTTTTTCTCACTGTAAGTGACTTCTTGAAGTGATAATCTTTTGCATCCTGCCGAAGGCCAGTTTGCCGTGGCCATTCTTGTTCTAATTCCTGCAAGGCATCTTGCATCACTTGTTATGACTGTTTCAAAATAGTGGTACCTATAACTTGCCTAAGAATGTTGCCGCTATATCTGTTTAACACTCCGGTATTATTTTCAGGCCTTCATCCCTCCGAAATGGTCCTTTACGGCCTGGGGAGAATGATCCTGCTAGGAGTAACTAGGGGATCTGGCCTAAGCTCAACACTCAAGGAAAAGGCGAGACGGATATAAAATCAGACAGTTACTGGTACCCTCGGAATTTCTGCTGAAGATGGAGGCGAAGCGCTTATGGAAGTGTCTCGGGTGCTATGATGTCGATTCTCAATTCAACATCTTACTATCAAAGGCGGGAAAAGGGGGCGGGGGGGGGGGGGGGGGTTGGTCCTATAGGAAAAAAGGTAACATGTAGATAGTGTTAGAGTGGGATGGAAATAGGAACTATTCTGGCTTTTCCTACCTCTAACTTTGTGTGTGTTATTAGGAACATACCCTTCAGATAACCGGTACCTGGAGACGACTGAGAGAGCACACACAAAGATTGTTAGTAATTACTGACATTATTTGTAACATATGTTAGTAATTACTCTTGCTTCGTGGCATAGAACCCTACGTCTGCAAACATTAAAGGCAAAACAAAACAGATGTCCATGGCAGCCATCTTTGTCTGTCTAAAGCAATGGGAAAAAACATAAATCTTACCAAGTCTGTCTGTTTAAACTGTATTACTCTGTCACAGAGTCCTGTCTAACGTTCTGGGTATTTGTGAATTCCGTTCTTTGTTCACTGTTTGTTAATATTTCACTGTTTATTGTTTTTTTTTTTTTTTTTTTTTGATTCCACCTCCCCCCGGGGAAATAATAGAGTAAACAGGGCGGTGATTCAACAGAGAGAGAGAGAGAGAGAGAAAATAACAACCATAAAGGGAGACGATAAGTATAATTTGACGACGGAAGGCTCCAGTTATTTCAGGCGTAGCCTTTCAGCATTGATATCAGTGGAAGCTCTAATCAGATACGATGGGAGTTTTGCTGCATGAGGAGTACAATCGTGGATTTGTTGAGTCTGTTCTGGAAATGAATAATACGTGGCTTGTGTTGTATCAAACAGCCTTATTTCTCTGCTTCTGTGTAGACAAATTCCTAGCCGTCCTTTTAAGGATGCAATTTTTCGTTTATTGAAGCCCCATCCAAGCTCTTGCCAGGGGCCGCAATATAGCCCGGCCATAAATATGGTCTAATGGCTGAACGCGGTTTCTGGGATCTCTCCGCGGGTGATCCTCATCCACATGGTGGCACTTTGTGTGATGTCCTGGTGGGGTCAAAAATATACTACTGCTAACTGAATAATCATATAGCCTGTCACCTTGTGGGATGCAATTTTTAGTTATTTAGAAGCTGTACTGCAGTGTGTAATGTCCTGGTGGGGTATAGGGTAAAATTTACTTCAACCTGAATATACCTTTTCACGCCTCAATATGCGACGCAAATTTTTATTATCATTTTAAATCCCAATACCGGTTGTCGTCGGAGGCCCTAATATGGCCTAACAGTTGAAAGGGATTTCCGGGGTTAGTGCCCAGGTGATTCTCATCCGAATGGTGGCACATTGTGTCAACTGCTGTTTATCGCTCGTTGCACTGTCCTGGTGGGGTTTAACTGCATTCGTTCATACTCCGTCCTGTTTCAGTCGGACTTGTTAACTGTGTTTGCACAATGCCACCATATAATGACTTGTGACTAAAGGCTCCTTGTGGTGGAAGGAGGTGTCTGTGTTGTACGGTGGAAGGAGGTGTCTGTGTTGTACGGTGGAAGGAGGTGTCTGTGTTGTACTGTGGAAGGAGGTGTCTGTGTTGTACAGTGGAAGGAGGTGTCTGTGTTGTACTGTGGAAGGAGGTGTCTGTGTTGTACAGTGGAAGGAGGTGTCTGTGTTGTACTGTGGAAGGAGGTGTCTGTGTTGTACGGTAGAAGGAGGTGTCTGTGTTGTACAGTGGAAGGAGGTGTCTGTGTTGTACAGTGGAAGGATGTGTCTGTGTTGTACAGTGGAAGGAGGTGACTGTGTTGTACGGTGGAAGGAGATGTCTGTGTTGTATGGTGGAATAACATGTATGTGATTTGTTCCTCTTGTGCGATTCTTATCCTTGAAATAGTAAGGGTTATGTAGAGACCCACAAGGGGGACAACTGCAATAGAAAGATCACGGAATCGCAGTCAGCAGACCAAAATTCGAAATGTTTAGTTGCGATTTGTTTAAGCAGAATTGCCAAGTGGTACAACCTTAACCTTCGCGCTCCAAAATCCAGGCCGGCCTCATTAGACAAGAATTGATTCTCTCATTAAATATTTCATGAATAACTCGCCTAATCTTTATCTTTGTGCCGGGCTATGCGATTATTCAAGGCAGTGAGCCTGCAGATTATCTGGCAGACACAGCGGTTATCACGACGGGCTCGTCACTGGGCAGGCGTGATAACATTATTGCTATGCTAGCTGCATATAAGATACCTGACTCAGTATCCTTGTCCAGGCTGATGGACTTGTCAGACATGAACTTTCATCAAAGGCACGGGGCGTCTGATTAATCAACACAGAATTGGCATGATCAGTCAATTTTACCCCAGTGGAGTTACCGAGGAGCAGATCGGAGCACCCGTGGACCTGCCCGGAGTGCTGTGTTGACAGTCCTCACTAATCTAAACGTTGAGTCCAGGTTCTGACTCCGTCATTCAGTGCAGTTGTTATTGAGAATCCTCGAAATCGTGACTGGCGCTACACTGTCAAGCTTTGTGCATTACTCAGATTGGGCGAATATCCGCTCTAGACGAATGAACGAACGAACAAACTTTATTTTTAAAGGATTAAGAATGAATGAAAGAAGACTGACATCACAGCACTCAGGAGATGTTCAAACGTGCTCCAGCTCCTTCTTTAGTTGCTAACGAAGAGTCGACATGATAATTAGGAATGAATTAAGGGATAAGAACTGATCACACAGTCTTGTCTTACATTCTGCCCAAGTGACCTCACTCCGTGCATAAATTGTTAACATCATTTGAGCACATACAGAGAGAAATCTAGCCATATAGAATTAGGTTCAATTCTGTGATACCGTTATATTTTACCTTGCCTCCACCCCGCAGTATATTTTACGATCAAATATATAAATTAACACTTCCCACACTAATTTAGCAAATTAGGGGTTTCTCAGTGCAACAGGAAACTAACAACTTGCGGTATTGCGCAATTTAAATTAACAAAAAAAAAAAAAACTTTGCGTCATCTAAATGCAGGATTGGATATTTGTGCGGCCAAAATGAGGGGTCGGAAGATAATCACTGGCTATCTTCCCTTAGTTCTGCGTGCTGACTGGAAGTCGTGGGAATGACGACGTCAACAAACCTTGGATCATCACTGGGTCTTCTCGACAGGAGAGTAGTCGCCCTGAGTTTTCCAAGGGAAATTACCAAAT